GGAATTATAAACTATAACAAAAATCAAATAACATGTCTCTGAAAGTCACTATAAAAACTCACCCACTGATCTCTAACTCTTTAGCCTGCGTGACCGTCTGAAGAAGCTAACAATCGAGCGAGACACCTTGGACAGCCAACTGAAGAATGAGAAAGCCGAGATGGACCTCTACAAAGTGAGCGAAAAAGAAAAACACTTGCTGACCGACAAAGAGTTATCCTTCTGACTCGTTTTGATCTTACTAACACTCGTCGGGCAGGCCCATCTGCGCAGCACCGAGCTGGAGAACACCAAGCTGAGCGCCGAGCTGCAGATGCTGAAGGCGGTGGAGCTCAACCGAGAGGTGACAATCGCTCAGTTCCAGGAGGAGCTGGAGAGGCTCAGGAGCTGCGTGGCACAGCGGGACAGTTTGGAGAAAGAGTTGCTCACGCTCAAAGCTGAGAAGGTATTATTTGTGACCAATGCGCAAGCCAACTCATCTAATGACAGACTTGTGCACAATCAGTGAAAAAAACGCAATTGAACCACGCAACTCTAAATGTGGACTTGCGTGTGTGGACCCTGTAAAAAAAAAAAAAAAAGGATGACTCGCGTGATATAGAGGGGTATGAAATGCATTATAGCGGGGGTTCACTTGCTTCTCTCCAAGGTTATTATCGTTCGTGAAAACTAACTAAATAGGTGACAATGAAGAAAGATTTCCATTAACGAAATGAGATAAAAACCAGAGTGCATTTTTTTAAAATTGATTTTTTTATAAAGTTAACTCGATCTAAACTAATACAACTCCTCAAAACTGAACTACAATTCACAACCTTGCTCTCTAGGCTAATTAAAACCCAACTAAATTGAACCCTTTCATGCACCCTGTAACCTGATAACATGATAAGTTGTCCACTGTAGTAACCGCTGTCCCTGAAAGGGGTTAAAAAAAGAACAAAAGTCCAAACGAAATGAAGGACGATGAAGAATTCCAGAGTATTATATAACCTTGCTTCTCTCTCCAGGCCGAGCTGGCGCGTGTGCGCGAGCAGCTCCGTCAGGCTGAGGAGCAGCTCGCCGCGTCCCGTCAACAAGCGGCCTTGCTGGCCTCTGAGCTACGTGACTCAGCCAGCGCCCGGGACCATTCCATGACCGAACTCTACCGCGCCCGCCTGGAGGTTGATAAGCTCCGCACCAGCCTGGCCGAAGCGCAGGCCGAGTGCCAACGCATGGAAAGTCAGCTGGACCGCATGAGGAGCTCTGCACACAAGGAAGTGGTCAGTAAATCACGAAAATATTGTGTGTATCTTTGGATTTGAATCCATTTCAATTTGCATCAGCTCAGTCCGTTTTTTTTTTTAACTCATTCACTCCCAAATACGTTTTTAAACGTCTTTTCAGACTTGGTCTAGAATTGGCTGGTACCGAATGAGTTTGAATATTTTTACATTTCCAATTTCAATTTTTATATTTGCATTTTTTTCAGGGTGTTGGCACTGGTGGAGAGCTCGCGCCCAGTGTGCTGATTGTCTCAGAGGAGGAAGCCGAGCTGCAGAGGGAGGTGGAGGAACTGAAGCTGCGCCTCCACATGGCGGCCGAGCACTATAAGGAAAAATACCGAGAGTGCCAGCGGCTCCGCAGGCAGGTGGCCAAACTGAACACGAGCGAGTCACACGCGGTGAGTGACTGCGGTGAAACCAGAAAGACGCAGCTGAAATATTACGCATACATAATATTTGCATCTGTTTTTTTTTTTTTTTTGTGTGCACAGGAGCACAAAAGAAATGCATCTACCGAGACAGTCTTGGAGCCTATGACCCCAAGTCCTGATTCACCCACGGGCGGTATGATTTCCCAATTGAAAAGGTCAAAGGAGCCTTTTTGACAACATTATCATCTCTGAACTTTTTTTTTTTTTTTATGCAGGAAGTATTGCCGCAACAGCCCTCCAAGAGGCTTCCACCTTGACAATCAGCACTGAACTTGAAAACCTGGAATGTACACACGGCAGCACAGAGATTGAGGCGAAGCAGACTGAGAACAAGCCGACGGGGAGCGCCGAGGCGGAAGGAGATGTGAACCAGCAAGAGGAGCGAGAAGAGAGGAGGGAGGCCGCGCGGGAGGACAGCCTGCGGCTGACAAGCTGGGTGGAGGTGGAGACCAAGTGGGCGGGCGGCGAGGGGAGCGCCGAGACCGAGCAGACGGAGGGGGAGGGGGAGCCGGAGGGCAGGAGAAGAGGGGAAGGAGAAACGGCAGAGAGGGAGCAGAGCAACTCAGTGGAGGAGGAGCTGGCCCTGATGGAGGAGAAGTGGAAGGAGCAGTGCGCCATCAATGAGATTCTCAAACAGCGTCTGGCCAATGAAGAAGAGCGATTTCGAGTGAGCTGCCTATTGTACTTTTATCCTCTCGTGCCACAATTAGGTGGAGCTCCAGAATCGAATGAGATCCTACGAGCACGACTGCCAACTGCAACCACAACATTAAACGTGCTTGAATAAATGCCTCCCTGGCATTGTCAATCAAAGCGGAGCGTTTTGCTCTTTGTCAGCTCTCATTAGGGAGCTGTTGTACCTAATTGATTTGTGGTGAGGGTACAGTAATTCAACAAAGCAAAAAAAAAAAAGTGAGTAGTTAATGGCCCACTATATTGGCTATGTCAGGAGCTAAGACGTAAACATACAACAAGCTACAATCCCAAAACAATGTGACTATCATTTCAAACCCGTCTTACAACATAACATAAATGGCTTCAGTCAGCCACTGGTTTTGATCCCCGCTGCACGCGAGCAATGTACGTACGTACCACGCCAGGTACAGTCAATGAATGCGAGCAGCGCAGCCAATCTGAGCTCTCTCCTTTTTTCTTGCCACTTCCCCTCTTTGGGGCAACCTTGACTATCACCCTATAGTGTTACGGTTTCATGAAAGAACAATATCTGGCATGTGGAGCCTCAAAACCCTGTAGAGGGTTGCAGTTTTTTGTCGCACCAATCACCCAGGCCTAGCTCCTTCGACCCAGCACAAATTACTACTTTCCCTTTTTTTTTTTAAAGACTTTGGTGTCATATTGTGACATCGTAGGGAGTTTCAGAAAATGCTAAACATTCACTCCCATTATTTCAGTTACTTTGAGGTCTGCTTTTCCGCACCCAAACACCTTGCACCTTAACAGCCCAAGTTAAGATGAACCTAACGACTTGAGCGCAACCGTGTTTATCGGCGCTATAAGCAAAAGGCTAACCCCCCCGACCCGGCCCCCACCCCGCCGTCTTTGATCGGACCTCCTGTCTGAGTTGAGGGACTCGTGTGTCCTGTGCGGCTCTTAATGGCCGACGGCTGGGGGGGGGGGGGGCAGCCGCCGACTGCCATGTTTTACGACTGTTTACATCAGGCGCAGAGGGGATGAAGCCAGAGGGAGAGACAGACAGACGGTACTGCTGACTCGCCACCTGAACTTCACCCTCTAATGCTGCACCATAAATCCCTCAAGAGGGGTGGGCGGGAAGGGAGAGCACCAGAGGAGATGAAAGAGAACCGGGGTGGGGGGAAGTGGAAAAAAAGCAAACACAATTCAAGAGTTGGGAAAGTGGGCCGGACAGACAGACAAGAAGCAGAGAGTGAAGCCGAGGGGATTTGGAATCTTTGTAATGGGATGAAATGAGAGACGACGAGACATCCACCATCCCGCTGTGTCTCCCCAGATTTACTGCCATCCTGTGTTTTGGCGGCCCGCGGTCCAAGATCAATAACAGATCAACAATGAAACTCCTGTTATCGGGGAATTGTTTCTCTTTCAGGTTCCCTGTAGGCGCTTCCCAAGCTGAACTAAAAAAACTCTGGAGTGAAAGGCACCTTTGCTGGTTATTAACTTCTATTCCGTGTGTGTGTGTTTAGGTACAGATGGCAGAGCGGACCAGCGAGGTGATGGAGTTGAAACGTGACCTTGCCCAGGCTTTGAAAGACAAGGAGCGACTGCAGGAGGTAGGGCTGGCGGGTTGATCAATTTCATTGATTCATTTGTTAACTGTCAGGGTTGTCATAGTTTTGGATGTTCCATTCTTGTTAGTTTTCCCATTTCGTTTTGACTTTTGGTTTTTGAAATTCAGGCAGTCTGAATTCGTTTCGAGAGCGTGTTTTGTAGTTTTATGCAGTTTTGGGGGGAATTGTTGTTTTATTTGAGCTTAATATTTATTGGTTTTAGTATTAGTTTTAATTTTTCTTTCATCTTGCATATTGGTGGAGTGCAAGAAAAAGACACTATTATGAAGTGAAGTAAACTGTATTTTTTATGGCCGTACAGTAATATTAAAATCAACATGAAAGTTCTTAAAAAAGACTGAGGTGCAAAAAACGTGATCAGGAAATCTCGAGTTAGTTGTATTACCATAAAATGTAGTTTTTTTTTTAAAGCTCTCGTGTCTGTTTTATTTCCTGAATGAAAATGTATTTTCAATTTTAGTTTCAATCATTGCATTAATGAACTATAATAACCCTTTTCCCCTGCTTATGTACTTTAATCCATTAAAATTGGAAATACAATTTTATCAGACACAGAATCAGAATTGTCTTTTTTTTTTTTTTTTTGCCAAGTATGTTAAAACACATTGAATTTGTCACTAGTAGTTGGAGTCACTCTCAGATGACAGCAAGCAAGCACAATTTAGAACATAAATATCCAGAGGGACACGGAGCAATATAAAGTGTCTACGAGTGCAGTAATCCCGTGACAACAATAAGTGCGCAAACCATGACTCTCATTATGATATACTGTGTTTTAAAACCAGAGAGCTCAGGCCTCCAGCCATCCAGTCCTCCTTCCTGGTGCACTAAATCCTCAGAGTTGATTCAGAAAATGCATGTGCTCTTTAGTCACGTGTTTTCTCCCCTCTCCTCCCCCACTCATTAATCTATCCAAACCTACCTCCACTCCCGGTGCTATTATTCCATGCAAATGCCAGGCGGCGTGTCTGTTTCACCTCCCCAACCCTGGTTTAAATGTTAAAGCTGCTAACAGAGCACTAATGAAGTCATCCAGGGAGGTCGGTGAGGGGGGGGAGCCCAAGTCTGACACCCATTACAGTAATGAGTAGGCTACTAATGCTAGTGCGTCACATATTATCACAAAGGGCAGCAACAGTGTCGAAAGAAATTAAAGTTGGGACGACTTGACGTTCTTCGTTAACTCAGACCCTCCCCCCGACAGGAATTGCATCTCTTCCTGAGTCGGCGAAGAGAGCAGGATGCCCACGGTGAAGGCGCTGAGGTCAGGCAGCCCATGGTGCTGCGCTACCCGCTGCCCTACCCCCAAGACCCCTCGCCGCCTCCACTGGTACCGCAGAGGCCCGCCGAGCTGCAGTTTGGCAATCCTTATGCCACGGATGCCATGCAAGGTGCTGTATTGCCTTTGTGTGGCATCACACTAGTCATTCGAAGGGTTACGGTTGGCGACCCCAGTCCACGTTTTCCCCCGAAATCATTTGCGATATATCTTTGCAATCAACGTTTTTGTTTTGAAATGTGTTTATAGACCGGGAAGCGGATGTTTCACTAACTCTCGAGCAACTGAGCCGTCCTCCACCCGAGGCCCCAACTTGCGCCACTCCCTGCGCCCCTCCAATCACTCCATCAAATCCGAATCCTGGCCCAGTGGCACCAGGCTGGGACAGAGAAGTGGTCTGCATTCAGCCGTCACGCAGCACTAGCCCCCCGGAGACCATGGAGCGACCACCCGCTGAGCCTCAGGCCGTAAGAAAGGATGCACATTCATTTGCCGGATACAAAATAAACGCCCTCCGTTCAAATTGATACCATTCATGGGAAAAGTGCCACTGCGCGCATTTGCTGGTCCAGGTTTGATGTCCATCAGTTTGAGCTTTTAAGCGATTTTGCTAACCAATACTAATGATGAGCCCCATGCGAATGTGGTTTATTCATGTTCAATTCTTCAATCACGGATTACAGTCATTTACGGGTTCATGATTACGTACATGCTAGATGTATGGCGTGGATTATTTATGACACCGGTTTTCTGTGCCTTGGCGCCATCTTGTGGCTTTCATATGTAATCCCAAACTCCGTTTGGCTACGGAGCCGTCAATTCTTTGTAGGAGTTATGCAGCAGGCCTGGCCCCATTTCACAAAATAATGAGGTACACTGTACATTACTTGTAAGAAATAATAAATAATTTTGCCTCACCGCTTTGGGACATAATTGCTTGGGTCATTGTTGTTCATGCTTACGTGCACTTTGTTTCGTAGGCGGGCGACGGGGCTCAGCCTCCTTGTGACCATCATCAGTCCAGCAGACCTGGCGAAACAAGAAGCAGCTTCTGCTTTGACTCGAGGTAGTTCACACAAAATGTATGTGTGTGTGTGTGTGTGTGTATATATATATAGAGAGAGAGAGAGATGCATTAATTTTTTTCCAGGGCCTCTTCCCCTTGTATTTTTTTTAAAGTAAAACAAGCAATAAATTAATCCGTGTCACAATAAACTCTACCAGATTGATTATACGCAAATGTTTTTGTTTTATAGAATAACTTTCCACGAAAATAAAGGGAAATGGGGAATGACTTGGCCCATCTGTCCACTTTCAAACTCGCAATCACCAACGCTTGTCCTTTGTCCACTGGCAATCCCACAGGAGTGACGTCCACAAGCGCTGCCCGCTGTGCGAGGTGATATTCCCGCCGCACTTTGAGCAGAGCAGCTTCGAGCAGCACGTGGAGAGCCACTGGAAGGTGTGCCCCGTGTGCTCGGAGCAGTTCCCCCTTGACTGCCAGCAGCACCTCTTCGAGAGGCACGTCCTCACGCACTTCGACGGCCACGTGCTCAACTTCGATCAGATTGAGTGATGCGCCCCCGGTCCCCTTCCCGAGTGTCATTCTGTTAGCTGTTACAGGTTCGGCTGTGTCGTTAAATGTACAATCATCGGCACGTTTTTTGCAGGTTACAGGTTCTGTTAAAGCTGTTTGAGAAGTTATTCCATATCCTTGATAGCCAGTTTAAAGTTCATGCACTAGTATGCTCTTTGTCCTCACTAAATCCGAGTTTTACATAAATTTTTTTCACTGCTAATGTCACTTTTAGCTTACTAGTATGCAGTTAGACCTTACTAGTAAATATCTGGGGTACAGGACCAGGCCCAACTAGTCGGCAAGTGTCATGCACTAGTAGCTTGCCTCTCAAGGATGTTCAATACATTCTCCAACAGCTTTCTACATGCCAACACATAAAAAGCTTTGCTTCCACTTTTTTTTTTTCTCCTAAAGCTCATCTTCGTTTCTCTGAAGCACCTTTGGCAGCGCATGTGGATATTGATGTGTTCAGAACAATGAGAAAAAAAAAAACGACACACCCCATCTGCTGTCAAGAAATATAAACAGACATTTCAAGTGTAAATGCAAAGCGAGATACTCACGAATGGACTTCCAAACCAGAAGGCTGCTCTGCTTCAGGAAATAAATTTAACATAAATAAATGAATCAGATGTATGTATTAAAATTATAATGATAATTATAATAATAATAATAATAGAGTAATACATTTCAATGAATCTGCACTATAAAAAAATGGCTTTATTCCGAATGTAATGTACATATGGAAATGTGTGTGTGTGTGTGTGAGTGTGAGATATGTACAAGTACTGCCCTCGGTTTGGTCATCTTGATGACTGCTGTGCACTTTTCTGCTTTATGTTCTGGTGTTCGGAAGATCTTGAGCAAGACGTCACTGACGGAAGACCGTTTGAGCATTTATTCCATAACTTCGATACCCATCTTAAGGTTCATGTTCTTGTAAAGTGCTGGATCTTGGAAGATAGTGAATAAATGCTGAAACTGTTTTCCATGGTCATGTACGGCCATATTTCGAGTTCTCATGAAAAGTCATTGCTCTGTATACATGTTAGACCTCATGAACGAATGTCCTCCACGTGAGCTCCGACGGTGTTGTTTCTATTCAGGCTTTACAAAACCGCGCACCAATCACAAGGCCTCCGTGTGTGTGTGTGTGTGCGCGCGCGCGCACGTGTATATGTCGATGTGTGAATGGCAAAAATCTTGATGAATAAATGAACTTATCCAAGTGCATGTGACCGTCAGTCTTTATTTTTGCATTTTATTTTCCAGGCGGGTACCTGTTTACATTGAAGCAGCTTCTCTTTTATATAGAAAGACAGTACACCCCTCCCCACTCCACTGAATACAAAACACTTATGTCCACGTTACATACGAAAATATAATTTAAAAGCACTTAACGAAAGGACATGTTACGATACATTCACTGTACATTGTAAATATGGGACTCCTACGTCTGGGGGTTGCACCCACCCCACCCACCTACTCGACGTGTGGAATACTGTCCTACCATTGGTCCATGTTTGGAGTTGTTACCATGACGAGTTTTAATGACACAGCTGCTCTGGATCATGGAGAGGAATTTTCTTAATGCACAAAAGAAGAGTGGAGGATGAGTGCAAATGTCACTGGACCCATGGCAAACACAATGCTCTTTTGATCATGTGGTTCATGTCTCTTGATATCCCCCGCCCCCCTCCCCCCCTCCCCTCTCAAGAGGCATTGAGTGACAATATGAATCCTTGTAAGGGGTTAACACCACTACTGTCCTGCCTGCTCCACAGGAGTGACCTGGCACAGAGACATTACATCCATACACAAAAAAACGACACAAGAACACTCTAGGCTGATGTCTTGATATGCAAACAAGACTCGCAACACACACTCTCACACACGCACACACCTGGAATGCTGTCATCTACAACACACAGAACAGGTTGTCGCTGCTACTGTAATCTCTCTTCTTTTTTTTTTGAAGTACAAATCAACCTCAGAGTGCATGCATGAAAACATTCAATGTACACCCACTTTTTTTTTTAAGGTTGGCGAACACACAAATATGGCCGCCCTGTTGTTCTTCCCCTCCCCTCCCACCCAACCCCAATCAGGCACACGGTATGGTGGATGTTTGGCAGTGAAGAGCTGTTGGCAACCGTCATGGAAAGAACAAAAAAAAAAAAAAAATGTTGGCAATTGGAATGACACATCCAACAAGGCGCTCTGTAATGAGAAGAAGGGGGTGGGGGGCGGTCTACGGGGCCCCAGATATGACATTGCAAAACTTAAATTGTGGACGCGAAATAATTTGCGGCTGAGCATATAGTAAAAGGAAAATTCTGCGCGCAATAGAGAAATAATGTGGGCACAATACACTTACTGTATATGTTTATCTTCCCATGTACAAAATGAACGTATGGGTAAGCAAATGGAGCGCTCCCTTGCCAGAAACTTACAAGGGAAAGTGCGCACGATTTGCTTACCAGCTGTTCAGGAATGATGTTCATGTTATCAATTTGTATTTTGGGGTGCACATTATACTTAATTTATGGCCCCAAATTTGTGTTTGGTGCACATGTTGCACATAACTTCCTTCCATCCATCCATCTTCCGAACCGCTTTATCCTCACTAGGGTCGCAGGGGGTGCCGGAGCCTATCCCAGCTGTCTTCGGGCAGTAGGCGGGGGACACCCTGAACCGGTTGCCAGCCAATCGCAGGGCACACAGAGACGAAAAACCATCCGCGCTCGCACTCACACCTAGGGACAATTTGGAGTGTTCAATTAGCCTGCCATGCATGTTTTTGGAATGTGGGAGGACCCGGAGAAAACCCACGCAAGCACGGGGAGAACATGCAAACTCCACACAGGAAGGCCGGAGCTGGAATCGAACCCGGTACCTCTGCACTCTGAAGTCGACGTGCTAACCACTCGACAACCGGGCCGCCCTGCACTTGTGGTCATAAATTAGAATTTTGGATCCACAAGTCTTGTGGTTGCAATTTCGTATTTCATTGTCACAAATTAGCTTTCTTTATCTAGTGTTCCTTTCTATGCACGGGGATAGAGAGCATGAATAATTTACGCCCTCCCCAAAGAAGGTCGGCAATCGCTTAGCGATGGCAGCAAAGCACTACCATAGTCTGAATGAAACCCCTTGGCACACAAATGCCACAAGCTTTCTGCAAAGCACTACTTTTGTCCAAACGGGGCTCCTCAACTCACTTCAACATTGTTACTTGACAGCGCGGTGCCGCAAGATGGCATCAAAATCACTCCTTTTGTCTGGAGGAAACATCTAAAATAACTTCAAGATGCCACAAGCTGCCGGCAAAGCATTTTGTCTAAAAGAAGCACCTCAAAGTTTAACATGGCACCAAGACAGTGCACGATGGCAGCAAAACACTGGCGAAATGGAGTTCCTCAACTCACTTCTACAAAGTGCCTTGGCGCCACGATGTGACAAGATGGTGGAAAAGCACGACGTTTCCCTAAATGAAAGCGCCTCGCTATACTTCGACATCATTCATTTGGCACCAAGATGCCCGAAGATGGCATCAACGCACTTCTCTTGTTTAAATGAAGCTCCTCAATCCACTTCAACTCAGTTAATTAGCACCAAAATTCCACAGGAGAGTGCCAAAGTCATAAAGACTGCTGGATTAAAAAAAAAAAAAAAAAATCACTGCATATTGTTGCCATAATTTACATAATAATAAATTATTTTGTCATGTCATGTCTGGGGCTCCATAATAAGCCGTGAAAGTATTGAACATGAACTGGAGTATTAGAAAAATATTTGCGATGAAACTTCGGACCATTCAAGTCAAAATACTGACAATAAAATACTGTATACAAAATAAAGTTCGCAAATAAAAGGTAACTATTCATGGATAATGCTTGTGAATAAGCGTATAGTTTTTATATATATACACAACTACATATGCGTCTACTGTTTATATAGCAACATACCTATTTCAAATAGAACTTAGGCAGAACCCCAGAAGTTCCTATGAGGCCACCAATCCAGAGTCAGCAAACAAAGCAAAAGGAGTCAAGGCGTTTCCTGACTTGGATCGGAGACTGATAGGTAACTTCGTCATCGTGCGGGGGCGGGGCTTGCTTGCACGTCCTGTCAACTTCTTTAAGCACCTTATGCAAGTCAAACCGAGAAATAAAATGATGATAGCAAATACGAAATGTGCAAATGTACAATCAAAATAAAACAAAAGATATACTTTTGGAAATACGTGTGATATATAAGGTGGATAGAAAACGTAAATAGTCATGTAAAAAGACCTTAAAGCATGCACTTTACTGTGAGGTGAGGACCTTTTCAAGGGAGCCCTTCAAGGTCTAGCCTTGAATCTTGCGCAGAATCTCGGTAGAGACGGGCGGGTGGAAGTTGATGGTGTGGTGCCTCAGGCCCTGCGATGTCTTGTAGCTCTTCCCGCAGCGGCACTTGAAAGGCTTCCTCACACGGATCTGCGTGCGGTGGCCATTCTTGGCGTGGTACTTGATGCCGTTCACGTTCTGAGAGGAGGGAAGAGGCCAAGCGCTCACTTTGACATGCAACGTTGCACCAGAACCTTTTTTTTTTTTTTTTAATAAGCATAAATCTTAACGAGTGGGCGTAGAGTGATCGGGAACGCGTCCATAAAAACGTCAACAACTCATCAAGTGCTCTGTCATGTTCACATGTGTCAATGTGACATTGAAATTACCTTTAATGGCGTTGTAAAAACGTCACTATTGTTAGCTACCGGAATCTGATCTCGTCAAGGGTGCCTACTCACTACTCGATGCTTCTAACTCACTTTTTGGTAACTTTATAGATTACAATGGCACCTCTAACTTTCGAATGGTAACAATTAAATGTAATGAAAAGAGTTAAACGCTTCATTGTGCAGCTCCTTCTGGTGAGTGCCCTCAGGCACCAGGGAGCAATATGATAGCGAGAGATACAAAGACGATGGATCACAACTGCTAAGTAAGCTGTTGTATCCTCTGCAAAAAATATGACTCATTTTTTGCAGAGGATAAAGAATACATACCTGTGAGTATCCATCGCGAAATAATTTTTCACTTAGTGATGAAGGCTGCTTCAAATTTTTTAAATAAAATCAGTTGAATGACAGCTCTTAGCATTTAAAAATGTCTGAGTCGGGTCACTTAAGAGTCAACGTAACACGCCATCATAGTAAATAATGCACTAATTGTCGAATATATTTTCATCAAAATAAATGACATTTTTAATATCTGTTGACAAAAAATGTTAATGCCAGATAACAATGTTAAATAGTAACAGTAATCTGGCGCGTAAATGTACAGACTGTGCTGAACTTATTCTTGGATGTATGAGAGAAAGATAAAACTACATTTCCTCTGTGGGAATATTACAGTTAGGCTGAAAAATCGAATTTTCTCGTCCTCTTTTAAGGTCTCACACGCAACAGTCATGCGACAGTAAAGTTCCCATACAAGCCCATAAATAAAAAATAAATGAATCTGAATGAGATTCTTGTTTGCTGTTGCATGATGACACAACATAACATTATCACGACTTTTAATCATGACAGTGTGGTTTCCCCCCCCCCCCTTTTTTTTTTTTTTAACGGCAACGTGATATCCTCTTTGCAGAACATCCATAGAACCGTGTGGGTTCTGCCACCTCACCTTGTATCTCTTCTTGCAGCCCGGCACGGGGCAAGCAAAGGGCTTCTCCTCCCCGCCATTCATGCACATGGAACTGAGGATGGACTCGGAGCTGATGGCGCTTTCAGTGGTCCATGACTCATCACTGTCCGACTCCTCGTAGTCTACCTCCTCTTCGTCGTACTCGCTACCTGTAATCGTTCATATGTTTGACATATAACTACAGTGACGTTGCACCGGAATGTTTTTTTTTTTTTTTAATTGTCTGTCTACATGTGTTGAGGCACCGTTAAGGACAATAAAATCAATGCTATTCATTAGCTCCACATTTGGTGTTGGCGTGAAGCTAGCGGAAGGCAAGTTTGGTGATTGTTTTAAATCAACATTGTGTAATATTCTTTGTTTTACGTTTTGTGTGTGTTCGTGTCAGTGGACCACATGCTCTCACACAAAGGAAAAAAAAACACCTTGTCTGCATTCTCATGAGCCTGTGAATGCAGGGATTGGCACCTGGAAGGCGATCATTAAGTGGGAGTGATCCCCATTGCGCAGGCTGGAAAAGTACTCTGGAGAATAGTTTCCACTCACGTGCATGCACACACCAACAGACTCTGGCCCCCATACCCCCACACAGGAAATGCTGCAACCCCGGCATGAGGAAATGGATGGTACTCTGGCACATGTTGAATTGTGTGCCAAAAGTGTGTGTAAAAGTGCAGAACTAACACTACGTTTAGGAACCATTTGGGCTGCTCCTGAGCTTGTGCACATGTATACACACACACACACACACGGCCCCATGAGAACACACAGTGTGACAGCTGCAATGTAATTAGAGTGTTGACTGGTCTGCTCACTGCAGGAGCCTCTAAAACACACACACACACACACACACACACACACACACACACGCACAAACGCAAAGTCTAATGGGGTAAAAAGAGCTCATCCGAGTATTGTGTGAACCAGCGAAAATGTCCACAAAATGACAAAAGCTCACACAGCAGGACATAGAATCCAACAGTTTGTACATCATTTTATGCTTCAATGCGCATTGACTTTCTCCCTCTGGTGTGTGCGTCTTAGCCACCCCTGGGGGGGGGGGGGCAGTGTAATCAACATACGATGAAGAAGAGTTAATCACAAATAAGACACGCACCGTGCACACCTGTCGTACCTGTCGGCGTGCTGCTGCGGAAGGAGGAGGAAGGGGTGATGGGGGGCGTGACCGGCGGCGTCAAGTTGCCGCTGGTGTGGCGAGGGGGCGTGGCCGTACTGTTCCTCGACACGGCGCCCGTGATGGACAGCGAGAGTTTGGGCGTGACCTTCTTCTTCATGGTCTCCTGCTCCCGCCGCGCAGCGTCAGTCATGAACCTGACGACAAATGCGTCACCGGTTACGAACGCGAAAATTGCGACAGCTATGTGGACATTTCCACACTTCTTACTTTGTTCAGTCAGGGCCATTTTCTTTTGTCTGCGATATACTGGATGACCACCAAGTCTTTACATTCCCGGGAGGACAGTCCGGAAAGATTATGTCGCGATTGCCGTGCTACAGGTGACCGTATTGAAGAGCTTTAAACGACGGTCACTAACAGCCACTATTACAAGTGATAGATTTTGACAAGATCGAATTAAGCTGAACAATCTGCCCGTGAAAATACATCTCACCTTCATAGAACATATTACGGGGACTGCAGATGACATTTACAAGTTCGCCACGTTAACAATTACTCTCCCACTCCTTATGAAAGAAGAACTCACTCTCTCTTTCAGGCACAGACATATTTCTCTGTGTTGCGGCCTCAAGTGATTTAAGAGGCGAGTGGTGTATCGGTCTGCCACGCTTACAAACAAACAAAAACACACACACACAGACACACAGACACACACACACACACACACACACACACACAGACACACACACACACACACACACACACACAGACACACTCGGCGCCGCATGAGCTGTCGTCCTGAGTTAGGCGTCTCATGTCTTCTGCGGTTTTCTCTGCCGCTCTGTGAATGAGTCACAACATTGTCGAAGGGAAGACATCCGTCATTTGGACGGCTGTCCCCCCTTAGGCTAAATGAACGGATGCAAAGGTGAGATTCGACGAGGCGGCGCAACGCTGCCACCTAAAGACAGGGCGACGGTACCTGTTGATGTAGCTGAGGGCCAAGTAGGTGGGCTGCTGTTGCTCCTGCTTCTCCAGGACCCGAGGGTCTGTGTCTGAGACAGAGAGAGGGTACGCATTTAATCAAGAGGACTTATCTGTTCTTCCTGCCTGATAAATTACTGGACCATTCACCACGGTTCGTCACGAACAACACATCGCATACAGTCATGGGTGCCCATGATGGCTTCTATGAACGCATCTTTGGGGTGTTCCCAGACTTTGTGTCTTGAGAGTCACAAAAAAAAAAAAAAAAAAAAAAAGAATTTCACATGTGAGTAGAGGAGACCCAAAGGCGCTGCGATGAATGTAGATAGTGTATTGCTAAAACACACACAGACGTTCTTCGGGGGAGACTTCCGCTGCCTGAGGGGAGCACCATTAAGTCTGCCTGCCCACTCCCAGGGAAACCAGTGGAGGGCTGGGGTGGGAGCTTGCTCATGGGGGTACTGTGAAGTGCCAGCGCCATCAAGTGTCCGGCATGGGAATGCTCAAAGGAACCCAAAGAACCACCACCGGACCCTAGCGTGCTAGTCCGCGTAGCAGTACATGTGGCGTAATGGCTATCAGATGGCTGTGATGAAGGAGTTGGATCATTTCAGTGCAACTGTGAACAAAACACACCCCGAACACTCCTTTTTCCAGCTTTTCCCCCACCAAGTGTGGCTCTATGTGTGCGTGCGTGCCAGCCATCTTTGGTTTTCAGACTTTCACACCTCATAATCTGAAACAAAAGCAGATGTCGACAGAGTGGGACAGCACTGACGAGACCGGCAAATGACAAAACAAAATATGACACACAAAATGTGCTAGTGTCTTAATTAGGGTTCTGTTGATGTTGACATTTGAGCAAGTCTGCCATATGACGGCAGATGACTGGAAACACACACACACACACACACACACACACACACACACACACACACACACACACACACACAGAACTGTATGCATGCACACAAACACAAGAGTGAGGCAATTAAACATATCGGTGGTGGTTGTTCATCAAGGCGGGGGTAAAACGGCATACAAAACGCATCCATCATGAGATACCGGAGTTCACTGCACGGCAACCAGCGACGGCTTTATGCGGACACGACGCCAGTGAGGTGAGCCAATGTGTGCAGACGTTGCCATGTTAAATTTGCGCCGCGTTTACGACGTCCGCTCGCCTGGCAGCACAGGAAGCTGACGGGCAGGAGGGGAGCCGCGTCTGTGTGCTCTGCTTCTAATATGTTTGACTCATTCCAGGAACCAATGGTGGTAACTGCAATTTTGGACACAGCTCTTGTTCTGCAGGACACTGCTGCAAACGCAACTAGAACCGGAAAAACAAATCAATCCAGTTTCTGTAGCGCTTGTCAATTCTAACATGTCTCAGATTCTCAAGGTTGCATCCAAATAAGAGCCAGCAGTGCTCTCAACATCAACTGTTTTATCAGCGGCACACTACTGCCCCCTGCCGACCATTACAGTGCGCGCGCGCGCGTGTGTGTGTGTGTGTGTGTGTGTGTGTGTGTGTGTGTGTGTGTGTGTGTGTCTCCCTACACGTTTTGGAAGCAGGCCAAGAATGCACAGCTTGTTTTGCAGGCTGCTAATTAAGCCACACACCGCATTTTAACGTGTTTCTCAAGCAGCAGGCAACCGGATGGAGGCCAAGAAGCGGGAATGTGGGAGGGGTTCAAAAATAAATTGTGAGAGAGGTAAACTTCCCTGTAATTATGCACCACGGTACATGGCATGGCACTTGGGGGCCCGGCGACTTCCGCCACGCGATGATGTGTGAGCTTGCATGCATGGCCTGAAAAAAGAGCTTCCACAGTTCCGCTTTGGGGATGCCAGTCCACTAATTGCGCCGCTACACCATCACAGGTCATTCAGGAAGTAGTATGGCGCGCGCGCGCGCACACGCACGCACACTTTTCTGTGTGTAATTATTTATATATTCAGTATTTAGCTCAGATTTTCATGTTTTTTATTTTCAAAGAGAAAAAAGATACGTAAGCCATTATTTCAGGCAGGTGACGATATGATCTAATCACCTAACATAAAGAACTATTGCAAAGACTCACTAACTGCGGCTGCAGGCGGATGATCGTCACAAAAACAAGTTAGAACGCCGACAATATTTGACCTGATGCTCATCAAGTCGCGGCGTGTATTCAGGGAGAACAAAGACGTTTGGGATTCCCCCACTTTCGCCCCGGGTGTTTTCTCCTTGTTTGAATTCTCACCGCTCTTGGCTTCTTTGTGCTGCTTTTGTTTTCTTTTGAGGTTGCAGGCAGGTTGGTGCGTGTGTAGGTAACACACAAACTTGCGCAGCAGGCAGATGGGCCTGACATCACCGCATTCCTCAGACCTGACCTATTGGGATAACAACTACTCAACACGGTCTTCTGAAAACGATTCCCTCAAAGCAGGGGCTTTGTCACTGCTGAGTTGTTATCTCTTTTTGTAGGATGAGGTAGCCGACGCGTATTAAGGGCTTCTCTCACGGAAACACTCAGCTCTTGTTTACTGAAACGTGTGTGGAGCGTTTAAATGAACGGAGGGGGCGGGATAAATGTGGCACAGGCCAAGTAAGACCACAAGAGGTCAGTATTGTCAAAGGAAACGCTTTGGGTCGTGGTGGGGGGGGGGGGGCATCCAGTCCAAATTTTTGGCACCTGGCTTGAAAATTACAATTTAAGACCTGTTCTATTGAGACTTCACTCTTAAAAACTATATGAATTCTACACACTAAACACCATAAAAAGGATAAAAACATTTTTTGCAACTATATTAAAGAAAAAGAAACTGCATGCACATCTGTATTTTATGGAATTTTGAGGGGGTAGTGTTTTGAAGAAGAGGACTGTGGGGGTGGGGGGGGGGGGGGGGGGGGTGCATCCAGTCCAAATTTTTGGCACCTGGCTTGAAAATTACAATTTAAGACCTGTTCTATTGAGACTTCACTCTTAAAAACTATATGAATTCTACACACTAAACACCATAAAAAGGATAAAAACATTTTTTGCAACTATATTAAAGAAAAAGAAACTGCATGCACATCTGTATTTTATGGAATTTTGAGGGGGGGGATGAATTCTATTCCCTTTAAATACATTCCGGATGCACTGTATCCCACACAAAATAGGAGCTCAACTGATGCACCAAACTATTTGGCGCCGCACTCCCACCTCAACCCCCTCCGATCCGTCTCGCACATCGCCACGGTAACTGATCTGCGTGAGCTATTGATTGAACTTGTAGCTGGGGAGGCCACCAATGACCAGCTGCGGCATTAAAATCGAGCGTAGCGGCCGGTCATTAAAGGGACTGTTAAATGACCTCCCCGCACGCTTGATGGCCGTGGGCTCAAGGGTCAAACTACGGTGCAGACGGGGGTCTTGATGGGCAAGTGATAGCTGAATAATGTGACTGAGGAGGGCACATTCATCCATTCATTTTATATACCACTTGCCCTCATAATGTCACTTTTTATGTCTACTAATGTGTCCTACTTTACCATAGGATGGCTTACCAAGAGTATGTCAGATCTATTCCCAGATTCCCCCCTTTCAACTCACGGGATGAATAAGTGTCGCGGAACGTGTGCAGCCCCCACCCCTTTTTCCACTCATTCACAGCCCATAAACACATCCCCTGTTCTGACCCTAAAGTGGTGTGACATCACATAGGGTGTCCTCGCCCATACTGACGGCCCGGCCTTGCTCTTTGTGGACGAGACAGCAGGTGTGCCAAGTTGACGCCGAGGCACTGCCTCCCTGACCCTTTTTCGAGACTGCCAGTTGCCATGGCGACTGGCTCCATGAAACCTCCGGTCTACGCCCACCGTCATCCACCGCTTCCTTCAAACACACCATGAATAGTGAATATTGATGGATACACATATTAATTCTCATTGCCTGCCATCTCGTGAGAGAGCTTACAACATCAACTGCTAGCATAAACAAAGGTACATTGAACACCTGCAAATTTCATGTTCAGCATTTGAGAATTCACCGATTGCCTAATTTTGTGCCCAGGCCGGAACTGTAACATTTTAACTTTTGCACTAACCTGTTGTCAAGATGAAGTGAGTTGAGGAGTTTTATTGAGAAAAATATTGTGTTGCCACCATCTTGGTGTTAAGGAACAGCAGTATGTTGAGGTGAATTGAGGACTTTTCATTTAGAGAAAAATAGTGCTTTGTGGCTCACTTATAAATCTTAAGGGAGGGCATCAATTGTGAATTGTCTCAATTCACCACATGGCAGTACAGCATTTTTGGTGGACAATTTAGGTGAAATTGGATAAGTACCTACAGTAAACCTCATGTGGTAGGGCTGCTTTAAATTGTGGTGGGAGGGCAAGTATAAATTATTTGTCTGGGTAAACTTAAGTGCAACAAGTTGAAACTTGTGCATTGGGGGGTGGAAACCAAAATATGAGTAATGCGCTGAAGTCACTTCAAAGTGACAACGCGCTTACGTCAAAGAACTTGAAAGGAGTGATTTGTTAATGCGGTCAGACACCTGAAGCAGACGCGTTCAATACACTACCCGAGTGGCATCAGGCCCGTTGCGGTCTACATTGAAATGTTAGCTGGCGAACCGCTGTCTGCTCAGGATGCTAATGACACTCATATGCCGCTGAAGTGACGGTGGAAAATGGCAAACACCGACGCTAAAAAACGCTTAGTTGATTTTTGAACGCAGTACGAGTATAGATTAAAGCAAAGAAAAAAAAACCGGAGGAGACTCCGTGCAAAGCCCCAAGCAGGAATAGCGGAACCCTAGCCTATGAGGCTTTAGCTCGCTAGCTAGCGGCGGCTAGCTAGTTAGCTCTCTACTCTCCCCCCACCCCACCGCCCCACCCACCCAGGCCGACTCACCGATGTGATTGTCCTCGATGTGGACGATGAGCTCGGCGAGAGACTCGAACTGCAGCCCGCAGCCTCCGAACCTGCAGGAGTTGGAGAAGAAGGAAGCGGCGGCGATGCCCGTCATGTTGTTTTCACCCGGGGGCGCGATGGTGCGTTCACCGGGCGGAGGGATGGGCGGGAGACGGGGCTCGGGGTGGGGTGGGAAGTAGGGGTTCTTGCGGGAGCCGGGGCAGTGGAAGCGAGGGAGGCAGTCTGGTGGTGAGGGTTTCGGGTTCGGGGAGGAAACGGGGAGAAGAGTCCGGAGCAGACACCGGGGCGGCCAGACGGACGCAGCTGGGAGGCAAGCTCGGCGGTGGGTGGGGGTTGGTGTTGGGGCTGCCTGGTGTCAGCTACGTCATGACCTGCTTACCTGTTTGCAACTGTAGAAATTACGAAAACACACCGCATTCATATTCTCGCCACACTGCTCATTTCCGCGTATTCTAACCTCCAAAGTGCACAAATAAGCAACAAATGGCGTTGCAAGTATGATATATGCATTAGAGTAAATGCTCATACATACTTTTGCAATGAGCGATGTGTTTGCACCAAACTTACACGCCTCCTCCAAATAAAGTTCAACCTCGGTTTTATCGTCCTTCTTCTCCAAGCTCCTTGCGAGTGTTTTCAGTTTGTGTTGGTTTGTCGCACATGTAATACACGGCTGGATACAAATACAGTAAACGGTAGCTATTCTCGTTTTATTACGACAAAGATGGATAGTGACGGACATTTCTCTTCCACTAGATGGCAGAAAATCCAGATATCATACATAAAACAGAATTATGGCTTTGTTTTCAAATCAACAGGTGTCAAAAATGTTGGGCACCCCTGCATTAATGTAACAGTTGGATTGGGTGTAAATCCATTAGCTATACCTGGAGAATCTGAGTCAAGAATTAGCTTGCTTCTGGTGACTTTACTGTTACTCGGGTCACAAGTTCAATAAACTTGTCATACGTGTGTTTCAGATGCCAGCTCGATGAGCAGCAGGATGAATTTTGAAGTGTTTCCGCCGATATTGACTGCTAACATTCAGGCAAATGCTTCAAAAGTAATTGGACTGCGCTTCACAATGCAGATGGACAATGACCTGAAGCATACCGCAAAGGCAACTAATAACCGAAAACTGCGAATTCAGCCATGCAATAAGTCATTGTGAAAAGAAGGGAGAAGGAAGGGGATAATTTCGCCAAGGCAGATAGATGACAGCAATCTTGTTTGTCGTGACTCATCTCACTTTTAAAAGTTATTCTGGAGAGAAATGACTCATGTTTGTCACAGACACACTTGTGGTAAAGGTAGATGTAACCCAAGTGATATTGTTTGCCCCTCAGAACCAACCCTTGATTTCCTGGCTGCCGTCATTCGCTTGCGAATGGGACCACCCCCTCTTGTTAAGTGTTACTGTGCACTGGCACGCACTCTTGCTGTAAAACATCCCCTATCTTGGCTGAAAACAAAACTCTGATTCACATCCACATGGGGGGAATGGCTGTGCACACACCATGACATCATCACAACTTCCTGTTTGGGCTTGTTGCTGCGGCCCCGCTCATTTGCATACTTCACTCCATTGGTGGATGATGAGTCAGTCGGGCTCGGTCCCATTTCGCACTTGTACCACAACAAAAAATTCACTCCGCCAGTCTGCCCCAGCTTGGCTCGGGTGCAGGAAAGCCTGACCAAACGTGGCAGACATTACTGCCACCATTGGTTCAATGGACACGTGAATGGACGCTTTCCATTTGTGCTCTTGAGGATATGAAACGTTTCTAAACTAACAGTTCATTGGATTGAGGCTCGTGAGTCCAAATGTTGTAATTTATTTCAAAGTCTTAGGAAACAAAGACCGAGTAGTATATGGATAAGTGGTCAGGGAGAATGCAGGCCTGTGATCAAACAATCAGTGGCTTGACCCCGAGATTTCCAAATCCTTGCTTGTATCTAATATTGTGGTGCTATTGAGCAACACACCAAATTAAAGGGCAAAAAAATGTGTAGTGTCAGTATCACAGCAATCGTTCAAAAGAAAAGTACAGGTAAAAAAGTATTCAGTGTATATTAAGAGTATTCAAATTTTATTCATGCTTGGCATGAGCAACAAGAGCTTCCAAGGCAGTAGAAGATGCATGAGATTCGAACCCACCACCTGACAAATGTGAGGGAGACATGGTAGCCCACTTGGCTGCTTCCCCCGTTTAAATTTATGCAACAGTGTTTCACGCAGTCTGGTGCATGGGCTCCCTCTAGTGGGGTGCAAAGGAACTACTACTCAAGCACAGTTCCGTTCTATTTAACTTTTAGGCTTAATACATTTGCATTTAATCTGTAAAAATGGTTGTTTTAAACATTTATTTCGGTACATTTTTGATGTGCTATATACATTTTTAGGTATACTGTTTAGCCCCTAAGATTTTTTTAAGCGCATTTGTTTCCTTCCCCCTTATTTTTAATTGCTGTGTAATGTTTGGACTACATAATTTTATGAAGGGTTACAACGATATTAAATATACTTTTAGGAATAAAACTTCTGTATGCTTGTGATTGTCCTCGCTATTTAAACGTCATGTGGTACTTTTCCATTGATCCATCGTGTTTGCAGATGAATCAGTCACCGGAGTTCGAGAGCGTCGCTCGACTTTGACGCCTACTTCGACACGACGACGACGACCGCGGGACGTCCCGTCTCGCTGCCCCAGCAGACAAAGACCCACCCGACGGTTCGTCTCGCCACGAGTGGGCAGCCCGGTTCGAAATCCAGTTGCTGAAACGTCTCCCTTCACTTCCCTAACGCGACCGGCCGGTGCGGAGCTAAGCCCCGCCTACCCCAGTCCGCAATGATTTAGAAGTTCAGGAATCCCACGTGACGTCACGGGGGATGATGTAATGCGTCTGTAAATAGAATGTATTGTAATCTCGCGCCAGTCCAACGTGGTTCCTCGCGCCGCTTGTCCCTCCTCACTTGAAGGTAAGCGAGCGGCCGTCTGCTCCCCATTCATAAAACTTCCGAGCAGCCCTCGCAACTTGGTGACTTGTTTTATGCTTTCTTTTTTTTTTTTCTATGATTTTTTTTTATTTTATTTTAACGGCGGTGGGAAGTTTGGGTTTCCTGAAGAGCGTCTTTTCGCCGGTCGGTGGTCTATTTGGGGGCGATGACAGCAGCACAACGCCGTACCGGCCTCAATGATTTAGAAGTTCAGGAATCCCACGTGACGTCACGGGGGATGATGTAATGCGTCTGTAAATAGAATGTATTGTAATCTCGCGCCAGTCCAACGTGGTTCCTCGCGCCGCTTGTCCCTCCTCACTTGAAGGTAAGCGAGCGGCCGTCTGCTCCCCATTCATAAAACTTCCGAGCAGCCCTCGCAACTTGGTGACTTGTTTTATGCTTTCTTTTTTTTTTTTCTATGATTTTTTTTTATTTTATTTTAACGGCGGTGGGAAGTTTGGGTTTCCTGAAGAGCGTCTTTTCGCCGGTCGGTGGTCTATTTGGGGGCGATGACAGCAGCACAACGCCGTACCGGCCTTGATTTTGTTTGAAGGAACTTTCTTTGGGAAACACAAATACTGTACACTGGATCGTCACGGGAAGAGGACTTGATGCTCAGAAGAGCCGAGCCGCTAATTTTGTTTTGAATGAACTCCAAATGCGATGTTGACATCCGGCAACAGCAGGAAGTTAGTATTCATCATCATTATTATTGTCATCATTTTTAGTTTTGCTATTACTACCACTTGTGGTATATTTTATGAAATATGACATATTTATTCTATTCGATGGAAAAGAATTGTTTCTGCTTCTTGCTCCTATTACTACTATTTTCTCACACAATAATAATATATTACCTAAAATATTGTTTTTAAATATTATACTGCATGTACACATGTATACTGTATATATAGTGTAAGAAATAGTCTAATTATGTACAATTTAATTCTGGTTATCACTACTTTTAGAATAAAAAATACACAAATATATGGTTATTATTATTATCATATTGCATACAGTATATGATGTATTATTGGTTGACGATGATAACTTATATATTACATTTACATTATATTATTCATGTCACACATTGAATATCATATGCATTAAATATAAGTAAGCAATATTGTATTCAAATATATATTTTTCCAATTATATAAATAATGAAATAATGGTTATGTGATTCTTTTATATTTATTATTTTAATCTGACAAATATGGAATATTACATTTAAGATATATTATAGTTAATATAATTATCTCTATTCCTTTTTCTATTCCTATAACTTAAAAAAAAATCTAATGCATGATTATTATGCATGATTATTATTTAAGCAGGTAAAGAAAGCAGTCCAATTTCAGTGACTATCCCAAGAGCTAATCAGGTGTAAAACGACAAGATGTTGTCTGGTATGTTGTTGGAATTATGTTTGTAAAAGTTGACGTCACCCTGGCTTGATGTAATCAGTCTGACAGAAGGTTTTTGCTTGAAATGTGCTGACTCGGCTCATTTTCCAAGCACTGCTCAAAGAGGCCACAGGGGCATAAACTGTACACTGTAGTGTGCAAAAAAAAATCTATCTATCTATCTATCTATCTATCTATCTATCTATCTATCTATCTATCTATCTATCTATCTATCTATCCTTTCTTTTTCCATCTTGACACACGCACACTGGACACTTGCTCACGCGGGCGTGCGCGCGCGCACGCACACACTTATGAAGTCACCTCCACTTGCTAGGGGTTGGAAAATGGGGGCTGAAGCAGGTTCAAACCTGTCAGGAGTAGGCCGGTGCAAGCCCTCCCCTTACGCCGCCACCTCCTGCCCTCATTCCTTCCCCCTTCCATTCATTGTCGCCGCCCGCTCTTCTCTGCCTCTCTCTTTACCCCGCTGCCATTTCCAGTCCACCACCTCAATCACCTTTCTGTCACTTTACACCACGTATCCCATCCATGCCTGCCCCCCCCCCCCACCTCTAGGCCCCTCCACACTTGTTTCTACGTTTTATGGAGGCATGTGCTTCTGACCCAAGTATCAAATAGTCTGAAAGCCAGTACAGTAATCCAACTTTTACAGTTAGTCTGACGGTACACCACCAAACAAAAATACAGAAAAATATCAACCCAATCATAATATTGACTAACCCAGTTTGAAATCTAATCTAATCTAAAAAAAAAAAATCTGTTTACAGGAAGCTGTGATTTATTCTGCTGGATCAATGGCAACAGGTGGATAGATACATATATTTATTGTACCTTCTGCCATTGAATGGAATAGCATTTAACTGTTCTGCCTGCCACTTGACAATGCTAGCATGGACTGTCGAGCAAAGATCTGCAATTAATGAATTATTTTGGACCAGTGAAGTCAATTAGATAATTTCCCGAGGCACCTAAGGGTGCCACGGCAACCAAGCTGCGGTAAATGAGAGAAAGAACAGCCAGCATTTTGGATTCATTCCATCATTTGGGTGCAAGTGTCCCCAAAAGTTACACGGCTTTTTGGTATGGACTACAGTTGCAAAATTGGAATTTTGATTCAGTACTGACACTAACCAGATGTCACAATTGGTGGCCGAGAGGGTGGCCCGCTGTGGAAAATCAACGGCCGGCGGCGTCGACACCTCAAAAGTCATAATCACATCACTAGCTTAGCTCAGTGGGAGAGCTGGTGGGGTCAAGCCTGCGTTAGCGTGCCCCAAGCACTCTATTCGTGCCGATATATACATATCCTACGATGACTTGACATGACCATTGGGTGCATTGGGTGATAAAATTGTACGCAGCATGAAAAAAAAAATGTGCAGTTGTACACTTATAACAGATGTTTTCAAAATCAACAGATTAGGCTGTGGGCAGAATCATCAAGATAACTCCACGTACAGTACAATCTAAGATCCCGTTTGGTGCTGCTTCGACTCGCACCGAAGGGATAGTTTTCCTCAGGCAACGGCAACTACCTCAGAACACCTCATTTCTCAGTGCAAACACACACACTAGGAAATGGAACACACACTATCAGAGGTTGCGGGATTTGGCTCTTGGAAATATAGGACAGAAGATGCCTCCTGCATGACATCACTGCTCAGTAACTGCAAGATGAGTAAGATAGTCCCCTCGCATGCAGTGTGATTATCCTGCTGCTAAACATGCTGCCCTCATTCTCTCTTTGTGTAGGCCTGCATATGACATGAATGACAAACAGGACGGGCCTTATGTGTGCGAGGCCCCTGGCTGCTCTCAGGTCAGTTTCTTATTTATTTTTACCCCAACACTTGCGTCATGCACTTCATTACTTATTATTATTATTTTTTTTTTGTTAACTATCAAAAGTTGTACTTGAGCTCATTATATTGTGCAGGTGAAACTAATGTCAAGGATAAAAAAAAAATATATATATATTATTTGAAGTTTGTGCTCCTTTTCACGATACTAGATAGTAGCTGCGCTTTAGGGATCCAGTGTGAGCACAAAACCTTCAGGCTTCTTCCTGAAAGTAAAAACGAATGTCAGGAAAAGCCTACTAGAACACCTCAAATCCATTTGGGGTTAATTAAAAGCACTGTAAATGTTAGCAAGTGTGTGCTAACTCCTCACTCAAATCGAGGTCCAATTCTGAACATAGCCACATCCCCAATTATAAGTGGGTGTGCACACTTCTGCAACCACATTATGTCTGTTTTTTTATTTATTTATTTATTTTCAATTGAGTTGGACAGGTCGCAGGTCACAGTTAATGGTGGGAAAAGTTTTCAAACGATGTATCTTTTGGTTGTTTCTTTTTGTTGTTGTTGTAAATATATCCACTATACATGTGCCCTGCGATTGACTGGCTCCAGTGACCAACAACCCTAAATTAGGACAAGTGGGAAAGAAAACACGTGGATCCTCATCTGTTCATCTCATTTTCATCCTGCAGCGATTCCAGTTTGAGGAGCATCTTATCATTCACAGACACAAACATGAGATGACCCTCAGATTCTCCTCCACCAAGACGGATACGACTTTTACCGGTGAGGGAGCACGCACAGTTCAGGCTGTATTTTAAATTATTATTTTCATTTATTTTTTGCCACAGTATTCATACTATCCTCCATCACATTATCGTCAATGATGTCACCATCTGTATCGACCACTTAAAATTAAAAACACCGGTCGTTTCAGCCGTCGGTTCCACTGAGATGATAAATCAGAAAAGGAAGCGCGACGTGTCAGTCGTCATTGTCAGGCCATTGGGTTCGACGGATGGTCACGTGACCCGGCCGTAACCAAACCATGGAAACGGTTGCATGTCTGGACACCTACTGTACTTCGCCATGATTTAAAAGCTCTCCCGTGGTGTTGTATATGTGACCCCCCTCCAGACCAGACGCCAACTCCCACTCGGTTTTTGCAGAACTGTGAAGAAGTTGGTCTGTTCAAGGAGATAGAGGAGGAGTTTCTGCAAGAGCAGGAAGCGGAGGAGAGCAAACAGGTATGTACCAACTTTAGGGGAGAAAATGTTTTTATAATAAAGAGCGTCATTTATTTGCGCATGTTCATCACGCTCTTTGAT